CAAAGCCCGACCTGCCGCGCCACTGTGGCACGCCGCCCTGCCGGCCGCGTGTGTTTGTTGTTAAACCGACCGCCAGAGACTCGGTGCGAACGCCAGCCACTTGAAGGCGCGCCCCGCCGCCCCGCCGCACCGCGATCCATCTATTTTTAAGCCGCTTAAGCGCGATTAATCCGTTCCTCCAAAAGCAACCGGTAAATCCGCGGCGACACTCCGCATCGCGTCCACTAGTCGCGACACCGCTAAAAGCCCCACGGCCCCACCTGCCGAGCGATTCGGAACATCGGTCTGTCGCTCTCTCTCCCTCTCGCACCCGCATGGAGCACCATGAGTGCGAGAGAGACAGAGCGACGGCGCGACTCGTTCAAATCGCTCGTCTGCCGCCACGTCACTGTCCGGCAGCGTCTGATCGAACCGAACCCGCAGCCTCCACGCCGCGCGCCGCGCCGCCAGATGAGCTAGACTCGGCGCGCGGAGCGGCGCGGCGGAGCAGCGGAGCAGCGCGGTGACTCACTGACGCCCCCCAAGGCCGCGGACGGGACGGGACGGGACGCCACCGACGCGCCGCGCGAAGCGGAGCCTGGCGGAGCACGCCGCCGATGACAACAGATTCGGACGGCGTCGCCCGCGTCGCCAGGCAGCCGATCGTTTCGTCGCTCTGTCTGTCTCGCACTCACGGGGCGTCCCGTGGCGGTGCGAGAGAGACAAACCGATCCTTCCAAATCACTCGGCTGTCGCGAACCTCGGACAGCCAGACGCCAGACAAGTCCCGCAAAAAGGCCATCTCCGTCTCGGTCTCCGTCCGGGCCTCGGTGTAGGTGTAGGTAGTGCACTGATAGTGCAGGGTGATTCGTCGGTCTCTCTCGCTCGCCCAAACTAGTGCCATGAGTGCGAGAGAGACAGACCGACGGCCGCTGCGCGGAATCCCCCTGCTGGGCGCGACACGCTGGCCCTGTGGCCCCGAGCCGCCCCGAGCCGAGCTGGGCCTTCGACGGTCTTCGACGGTCTTCGAGGGACTCCGGTGCCCGCACCCCTCGCCTGTCCGTCTCTCTCGCTCTCGTGGTGCGTGGCGTGGGCGTGCGAGGGAGACGGGACGAGTGCGTGCAGCCGTCTGATTCCGAACACTGCTTCGTCGCTCTGTCTCTCTCGCACCCCTACGGACCACCCCATGAGTGCGAGAGAGACAGAGCGACGAAAGCAGTGCTCGGAATCAGACGGCAGGGCGTGCTGCGGAATCTCTCGACTGGACCGGGCCGGCCTTCCGAGAACGCGGTGCAGTCCGGGTTTTGGCAGCGCCACAAAAGCGTGTCTACGCCCGCACGGTGTACCTACGGTCTTGCAGTGTGGTGCACGGTCACTGAAAAGGAGGGGGCACGGCGATCCTCCGCCTACGCCGCGACAAAGCCCCGTTGCCACCGCGACGGACGCGTCTGCGACTGTCTGCGTGTCACTGCCTGCGGACTGGAAGTCGAGTGCACCGTCGAGTCGCTCTGTCACTCTCGCACTCATGGCATGGGGCGTCCCGTATAGGTGCATGGACATAGTCTATGTATAGGTGCGAGGGGGGCAGAACCACACACGACCCTCGGAATTTGTCTGCACTGTGCCGGCACCGCTAGCGTCCGCTGGTCAGGGTAACCCCTTCAGTAGCCCGCCCAGCTCGCCGCCCAGTCGCGTTTTGGTTCGATCCGTTGAGGCCCGAGTGCCTCGCCGCCTCGCCCCTATCGGAGAAAAGCATTTCCAGGAAAATGCGGCCGGATCCCAGTGTGTCTCCCAGTGCGCAGATGATAATCAGTCGATAAAGTAACTTCCGGACTGGGCGGCAGGGGGGCCAGCGCGCTGCCAGTGGGTCATGTGGCGATCGTTAGGTTAGGTTAGGGACGATTCCGACGAGTCGCTCTGTCCATCTCGCGCCCCGACGCACAGTGGGCCAGAAGACCGGTGGAGGCGGCCAAAACCCTAGACGCGTTTTGAGCTCCAGAGTCGCTAAGTGGGACTCGAACCGAACGTGTGACCCCACCAATGGATTGCTCTTCGAACGAGGAATCCATTGATGGGGTCACAAGCTCGGTTCGAGCCCTGTTTAGCGACCCTAGAGCTCAAAACGCGTCTAGAGTTTTGGCCGCCTCCACCGGTCTTCTGGCCCACTGTGCGACGCAACGCTCCATGAGTGCGACAGAGCGGCCACGCCTCGGAAGCGTGCCTTGAGCAGAACGAAGCATCTCCTGGGGAAATCGCCGTATATCCGGCGTCCGTCCGGCGATAACCGGGCGATAGGGAATACGCTTCCGGGCCGAACCGGCCGTCAGCCGCCACTGCACTGTAAGTACGCAACGCCACTGTAGGTACGCACGCAATACTATTCAGTGATACCCGCCACTGTAAGTAAGCACTGCCACAGTAAGTACTACCGTGCGTAGTGATACCCGCCACTGTAAGTAGTTCTTAGTATCCGGTGATGCCCTCCACTGTAGGTGTATACGTATTCAGTGATACCCGTCACTGTAAGTACGTGGTACCCTCCATTAGCGGTGATGCCCTCCACTGTAAGTATTACGCGGTATTACGCATTCGGTGATTCGTGACTGCGCCCACAACGGCTGTGTGGCCGTGACGAGCCGTGCGGCCATGAGGTGCTGCAGTGCCAGGCAGCCCCCTCGGCGTGCCTGCCATGGCTGTGCCATGGCGCCTGCACTGCCATGGCTGTGCCATGGTGCCTGCACTGCCACCTGTGGCGACAGCGGCGAGGGCCGCAGCTGTAGTTTCACAGGAAACAAGCCAAAACAGCTTCGTGGCGCTTGTCGGCCACACGTAGGGCACTTCTTCGGCACATGACTTGCGCAATGTCCCACGGCCTGCGGCAGCCTACGGCGATTCCCGGTCCTTTATCTGCGGTTCCTCGAAGTTCAATCAAACCGATGGCGGCTTGGTCGCGCAGTGTCCGTCCGTCCGCCGGGTAAGCCCCCGGTAAAGCCACGCTCTGCGTGGCTCTGCGAGGCTCTGTGTGGTGACCCCGATGTTCGTGTCAGGCTGCCGGGCCGCCTGCCCCTGGCCTACCCTACCCTCGCCGTCATCCTTCGATCGGCACTCCTCGCCACCTCCGTCGTGAGAACACCGCACCGCACCACCGCGCCGGCCATCGGCCAGTTCCAATACCGATCGACCACCCGGCACTCCACTGGCCGATTCCGGGCACCGCTCTGTCTCTCTCGCACTCGTGGGGCATCGGCGTCCCGTTGGCGAGCGAGGGAGACGGCGTCGAGAGGAGTGCCAGCCGTCTGATTCCTTCCCAGCACTGCTTTCGTCGCTCTGTCTCTCTCGCACTCATGGGGCGGTCCGTAGGGGTGCGAGAGAGACAGAGCGACGAAACAGTGTTCGGAACCAGACGGCAGCTCGGCACTGGAATCGAGACGAGTGATTCTGGGGAATCGTATGTCGTCGCTGTCTCTCTCGCGCCACTGCGGGGCGTCCCATGAGTGCAACAGACAGCGACGAAACGACTCTCCGGAACGGCGTCTGCTGGATCTCGCAGTGTGCTGGGTAGTACCGCGTCGATTGCGGTTCAAGGTCCACGGGCTTCGTGCCAAAACATGGCCACGCGCAGGTGAGCTTGTATTTTGAAAAAGTGAAGTGGGGTCGAACGTGTCGAAGGCTGCCTCGCTTGCTCGCCTTCCCGGAGTGGAGCGGCGTGGCCCAGCGGCCCCTGCAGGTGGTTTGATCAGCGTGAAAGGAAAGGGGGCGGGGTCATGACCTGCGCGACCCCCGCGGGGCCCGCGGCCCCACCCCGTCCAAGGATGGCCACCCCAAACTCGCTGTAGTGGCCGCGAGACTCGGAAGAGTCGCCCTCTCTCTCGCACCCTTGCGAAGAGGCCCATGAGAGCGACAGAGACAAAGCGACTGTTCGCCACCGCTTGGCTCAGCGTGAAGCCGGCCTTTCAGGCCAGTGTAGGCAACCCGCAGCGCGGCGCGGCGCCGGGGCCCGGGGCCCTTACAGTGCGGCAGACTCGCACAGGTGGCGCCGCCTTGCCTTGCCTTGCCGCCTCAAGTCGTGCGTCAACGCACACTCCATTTTTTCGCAGTCTCGAGGGCGACGCGGAAAGCGGAGGGGACAGGATGGATTGGTGCAGAACGAGGAGAGCTTCTCTCAAACAAGCGGCCTGCAGGGAGATTCCGCGAGCCGTTTTCACCGCTGTCTCTGTCGCACTTGGGGCCCTGCCCTGTAGGTGCGAGAGAGGCAGAGCGACGAAAACGACTCTCGGGATCAGTCTGCTGGCCTTCCCCGTCTAGCTGCAGTGCGCCAGAGCGCTGCAGTAATGCACCTGCAAACAACGATAACAGTGCCTCTACGCGACAAATGCCCCCCCCCCACTCCCTCTCTTCCAGCTCATGTCCTGTCATGACATGAATGGCCCTGGCCGGCCTGGCCGGCCCCGGGAGGGTCAGCAACAGCAGGGCGTCCCCCAGCGACGCCGGACAAATATTAAATCGGGATTCCACATAATGCAGGAGGAATGCCACGAAGAGGAAGACAGAAACAGTTGAACACACACATGCACACACACACATGACGAGTCAGTGCGGCGGCGGGGGAGGGGGAGGGGAAGGGGGCGCTCGCGTGGGCGCCTCGAAGACGGCTGGCCGGGTAGGGCCGCCAGCCAGCCAGCCAGCAGAGAGTCCGTGCCGAGTCGAGCACGGAGCTCAGCCGCGCCGGCAGGGAGCGCCAGCCGGGGAGCCGAGCCGAGCCGGGCCAAGCCGAGCCGCGAACACGGCCGCCAGCCACGCAGCCAGCCAGCCGACCGACAGGCAGCCCAGCGCCTGGCCGGGCCGCGGCCGCCGCCGCCCCTCCGCCGCCACCGCCGCAGCAAGCGGTCGCAGCCGCAGCCGCAGCCGCGCAGCGAGCGGCAAAGCGACTTGCCTCGCTCATGGCTGAGTCGAGTCTCCGAGTCGCCTCAACGCTTCGCTTCGCCGTGGCGGCTACGGTGGCAGTAGTAGTGGCAACTCACGTTGTTTGTGGGAGATTCCTTTTCGCCTTGGCATGACGTCACGCGTGTGGCTGGTCGTCGCAGGTCACATTGTTATTGCACTTGACACTTGCACTCACACACTGCACTTGCAGTGCCGATCCGCCCTCATCACCACTGCCATGACGGCGTGCTTGGGGAGGGGGAGGGGGTTTCCCTGCCGATGCTCGCGCGAGTCGCGACGGGGCATGGGGGGGTCATCCTCCAGACACTTGTTTCACAGACACAAACACCGCAGGGTATTCCAAGGGGAGTCGTTGCACTGTCCGCGCCACTGGCGTCGCTTTTCGGGACGCGTTGCACTCGGCTCCTCGACACCGGCTCGGTCTCGCTGACAGTGTCCGTCCTGTCCTGGCGACGGCACTGCGAGTGCACGGTGTGGTGCACGGCAACGGCACGGCGCGATCGAGGCGGCCAAAGACTGCGGCGGAGCGGAGCGTCCTCTCGCCGCTTGCTCCGTCCGTCCCGTCTCTACGAAAACACAGCACACAGCTCACTGAGTGGAGAGTGGTGGAAGGGAGGCAGCCAGGGAGCCTTCAGGGGCGGGGTGGGGACGGGGGCTCCGCGGCCGGCCGGGGCGGCGCGGCGGCCGGGGCGGGGCGGGGCGGGGAACTTCGGGCGGGTGCTGCTCGCGGGCCGGGAGGGCCGGGGCCGCCGGGGCCTCGCACTCGCCACGGCTCGGTACGGCGGCGTTCGGCAGCGCTTCGGCTCGGCCCGAAGCCGGCCCGAGGCTCGGCCGCGGCGGGGGCGGGGAGGCGGCGCGCGGGAGGGGGAGGGCCTAGTGCTGTGCGTGATCACATCTCAAATTGGGGCCTAAGTGACAGCGGGGTGGAAGTGACAGCTGTACTGGCCTGTGCGGTGTTGGGTAAATCTGCCGCACTGCATGCCGGGGCCGGCGGGGCCGACAAGCCGTCACTTGGCAGCACGGCCGAGCCGCCGAGCGTGAGGCCCGCAGGCCCGCACTCCGCACTACTTGGCCCCCAGTCAACAGAATGAAATTTCCGAGAGCCCCATTTACACCACGCGGCACCGCGGGCACACTGTGCTGCACCCGGGCGTGACTCGGGGATGGTGTGGGCGTGCTGTGCTGGCCACCCTGCTGGCTACCGTGCAGGGTCGTTTTCGTCTCTCTGTCTCTCTCGCACTCAAAGGGCGTCCCGCATGGGTGCGAGTGAGACGGAGCGACGAAAACGACTCTCTGTATCAGTACAGGATGCAGCTTCATTCGGAACAAAGTGCCTCGTAGCTGTGTTCCGGACTCCGGACGAGTCCACAGGGCTGGCACGGCTAGGGCCGGGGGCAAAGCCCCGGTGTTGTGCGTGGCTGCGTGCCGCAAGGAGCGCAAGGCTGTCACCGCACCGTCTGGGCGACGGCGACGCGCTCTCGATTGAGTCCGCGGTGGTGGCGGTCGGTGCTGCCGGGTGCTGCCGGTCCTGGCCGCGCGGGTCGATTACACGTGGAATCAAGGCGAATCGAGTCCGGGCCCTTCCTTTCCCTTCCCTTCCCTTCAGCCCCTCGGCCTGGCGCGGACTGGCCGGCAGTCACTGCCACTGCCGTCGCGCGCGCGCGCGTCCCACCCGGACTCCTTATCGACGTTCGAGCATCTCTCACAGCGCTAACAACACACGACGGCCCTCCCCCTGTCTCCGCTCCACCCCCGCCACCCCTCCCCTCCACGCGCCTGTCCCGCCCTACGACACGCTGCTGGGCCGCACGCCGAGCGGTCCCGGCAGCCTGCGGGGGCCGCGGGGGCTGCGGGGGCGTCGGGGAGGGGCGGCAAGGGCCTATCGGTAGGGTTCACCCGCCCCCTCGGCCCCGCCCCCTCAGCCCCGCCCGGCCCTCACCGCGGGGCGTTGTTTTCTCGTACAGTCGGGAGTCATACGCGGTACTGGGCGCTGGGACCAGACGGGTCAGCCGCCAGGGCCAGGACCGCCGGGGCGAGCTCGGCCATCGAGCTTCTCGAGCTTCGTGGGGTGGCTGTATGTACAGTCCGCGGGGGCAGAGCCGGCAGAGCCTGACTGCTCAGCCAGGCCCCGTCACGCCGTCACGCCCCTACCCGCCGACTTCTGTGGAACCCCTAGCGCCGCACACGCCGCACACGTACACGTCATCGGCGCCCCTACTGCGCACTGCTGGGGCCTTGGAAGGGCCCTGCAAGGGCCCAGCCCTTCCCTGCGGTTCCGCGCTGCTTTCGTCGCTCTGTCTCTCTCGCACTCATGGGGCGGTCCGTAGGGGTGCGAGAGAGACAGAGTGACGAAGCAGTGTTCGGAATCAGACGGCAGGGACACCCCGTTGCACGTGGACAGGGACAAGAAGGCCCACGTTGACCCCGGAAGGAGGCAACCTTTGCTGCCACGCCGCCCCCTCTTGAACCAGTCTCTGGATCCGCCACTCGAATCGCCTCAGCGAGTAACGGCAGGGCCATTCGTAACCACTGCTTTCGATGCTTTCTTCGCGCTCTCGGAGCGTCGCTTGGGAGTGCGAGAGAGAGAGAGACAGGGCGATGAAGCACTCTTCAGTATGAGCCTGCCGTCTGATTCCGAACACTGCTTTCGTCGCTCTGTCTCTCTCGCACTCATGGGGCGGTCCGTACACTCCAGATCTTGGGTGTCTAGAAACTGTACTCCTTAGGCGTATACACATCCTTGGCCGAGGTCATGCCTACCGGCCTTAAAGGGTGTTTACATTCTACGCACCTTCAGTCCTGTTGGGCTCAGTGCCTATGGTCCAGGGTGTGTACCCTACAATGCACGCACCTTTCCTTCGACCAATGGTGTTCACATGCTGACTTCTACCTGCACAAGGTGCTCAACGGGGTATACGCCTTTGGCGTTTAGAATCAAGGCGCCTTAAGGCGCTCGCTTTTCTGTGGCATACGCCTACGGCGTACAGTTTCTAGACACCCAAGATTTGGAGTGTAGGGGTGCGAGAGAGACAGAGCGACGAGGCAGTGTTCGGAATCAGACGGCTGCTTGGCGCAACACCGGGTAGGGGCTCTTAGCTTAGGAAAGGGCGGGGATCTCGGGGGAGCGGTTTGAGCAGGGGCACTGGGGACACTCGAGGACGAGGACGAAGACGAAGACGCCAGCGTCGGGTCATGGCCGTCCATTTTTACCTTGCCGCCCGGGGGGTAGGCAACTCATTCGACTCTGCCTGGGGAGGGGGAGGAGGAAAGGGGGCGACCTGCCCCCACCACCAACCCGATCCCTATGTCTCCCGTGTGCTCTGCTCTAGCGCTCTATGTAGCGCTCTACCTGTGCGTCGTCTGCTCTGGTTTTGTTTGACAACCAAGAACCAGAAAACAGAGTGGGGAAGGAAATTTTTGCAAAAGATATAGCCTTTTTATTGGTTTGACAAACTTTTTTAGTATTCTTCCGAGTAGTGTTTTTTGCTACAGTCCCGAAGTGGTGCCGGAGATACCCGAAGCCAGCCCGAAGCTCCCCGCCGCTGTTCGCCGCTTTGAAAATAAACAAACGCCGCCCGAAGCAGCATTCTTTGACAACAAATCAAAGAGATTGGGAAATTTTCAGAATTAACATACCTAGCTGCCCTGTCTTCTTCGAAACCTCTCATGTTTTGGTGTCCTTTTACTTTTTCTAGAGGTGAGAGTGGCCAGAAATATCAATCCAGGCTATCTGTGGCGTGGGAAAAGAATGTTTGATGGGGCACCTGTCTCTTGCAATGATATGAATCATGTTTTGTCGATGCAACTCAACTTTTCCTCTTGTGTATGTTCTGTCTTCAGGAAGCAACGATGACTCTTTACTTGGATTACCGCGTGCAGTCCCCAGATCCGTCCGCCATAAATGTCAGCATCGAATGGCACCTGCAGCACCATTTGCTAGCTGTCACATCTTGCAGTGAGGAAAGGGGTGGATTTGTCACTGTTTATGATGAACTAGTATGTATTGAAACTTCCTTTCAATTAAATCTTTTCTTGTTTTTTTTATTTTTTATGTCAAATTTGTGTTTTGTAGGGAGAACCTTTAAGGAACATACGCTTCCCACAACATCCAGCTTCACAAATAACTTCATCGGCATGGCATCCTGATCGTAAAGTCCTGGTGTGTGGCTGGGAAAATGGTGATTTACAGTTGTGGAATGGTGGCACAGACTTTATAACTGTTTCATCACCTCACCGAGGTATTGCTATCACAATTCTTCTGTGGAGCCATCGTGGAGGGAGACTTGTTAGTGCTGATGCGGTAGGTGACTCGTTGGTGGTAGACACTGTATGTTAATGCAAAACAACTCTGACTTACATTTTTTTATCCAGAATGGTGGCCTGGTTGGTTGGAGACTTGATGGTCATGACCAATTACAACTTGTATTCCAACAAACACTTCGAGAACCTCTTACTCATATTGTTTTCAAGCAACGTGAACCGAAGGCCCCACAAATGGACATTTCAGGATTAGCACGCGCTGCTGTAGCTGGAGATGAAAAAGCCTTGGACATGTTTAGTGCTTGGCGCCCTAGAACTGCTGGAAATCGTTTTAGTCTTAATTCTCAGGGGCAAGACAGCCTCTCCTTTTATGTGGCATCTCTCAGAGGTATGTCTTCCTCCATAAATTTTAACTTTCCTCTCAATTTTCATTTTTTAAAAATATTACTGACTTTATATTATTTCAGGTTTAATATATTATGTATCAGAGTCTGGATCATGTTCAGAAGTGTTGAACACTGACGGCCAGATTGTGCGTAAACTTCTGTACCTACGCCTGAAAGATCATCTTATAGTTGTAACTGAGTCTCTCACCGTTACTCAGTTTCAAACTGATTCAGAAGGGATGCTATCTGAACTCTCCAAGGTATTCTCAACCAGGATTTTTTTTTTTAATTTCTGGAACAGACTTTCCTTGTGCGATATTCATGATTTTAAGTATCCTTACTTCATGACCAACAGGTTAAACTCAGTGCCCAAGCTGGTGACACACAGATTTTATGGGCTGGTCCAAGTTGCCTTGCTATCACTATTGGAGACTTATCAATAAGGTTGTGGGATTTGGAATCATCTGACAGTTATCTTCTTGTTCCTTCTCAAGAGGAGTCACCAAAAAGCCCTACAAGACAAGCTTTTATATGCTTAGCTTTCTGCAGTGTGCGAGGTGAGACTTTAGATGCTCAGCCAGTAAAATTCTTCTCTCCTGAACATGTCAAGATAAACTTGACATTTAAAAAATGTTTTCCATTTATTGTAGAAATACTCTGTGCTGGCACAAACAGTGGATACATCTACATGTGGAAAAAACGCCCCACTGGATCTGACACTTCTGAAGGAGCAGATTCTTGGGAGCCTTTACCCCCATCTAATGTGAGAAATGCAGTGAAGCAGTTACAGTGGGGCCCAGGTGCTGGAGAACTTGCTGTCAACTGTATAACAAATGTGTACATATTACGAGAACAGGTTTTAGCTGCTTGCTACAATCAGCAGGTTCGTCGTAAATTTTTTAATCTTTTAATTTAGTACAAAATATCAGTGAAATTTGAATTTAAATAAATATATCTAATTTGTTTTCCCAGGTTTCAGCTGTACAGATATCTGGAACTGCATTGGTCGTGTCCATTGGAACTAACTATCCTCCTCTTGACCTTCATACTGAGATTCAAATCAAAGGCGTAGTAGTGTCCAGTGACCACATAGCTGCATGGAGTGGTCGTACTGTAATTGTGTACCAATTGTTGCTAGGTGAATCAGTCTCAATCAGTGTTGAAGGTAGTACCCTTTCCCATAATTTTAGCTCTCATGTACTTTCTGCTGGTAATTTTATGAATATTATATTGTAAATATTATTTGCAGGAACATTTGCTTGTATGGTGGAAACTGCAGTACTGTTGGACAAAAGCATTGTAATTTTGGGCGAAGGAGAAGGAAACACATCTGGTTCTAATCCAAACATCACTGTGAGAACTTTTCAGGTACTATGACTCTGTATTCTGACTTGTGCTCTTTGATAATGGTTTCTTCAAAATATTTTATGTGAATCTTTCTATTTTTTTTTTGGTAGGGTACAGTGAAGCAGACACTTGCTTTGAATGACCAAGAAGGTAAACCACTCTCCATGGAACTTAATGGCAATTTTTTGACTGTCACTTCTGACATAGGTTTCATCAAAATGTGGGACTTTTCCAGACGGTAATGACCTATTACAAATCTAATAATATCTCTTGCTTGAAAAATAAAACTTAATAGTTTTCTGTTTTGTGCATAGAGAAGCAAAAGTTCATGGTCAGTCAAAGGATATTGCAGAGGCACTCCCTGATTTTGGCGAAATAATACTAGCCCGCAGTAACTGTACTGGAAATAAGGTGTCATTTACCATAGCTCAGGTATTTATTTTGCTCTTTGCTTGAAGCTTATGATACCTTTCAAATTTTATTAATAAGTCGTTCTTTTTTCTTTCCTTAGTCAAATCTTCTGCCAGAACCAAAACTTTATGTGTGGGATATAGAAAGTGACAGCATTTGTTACTTGAATTTTACAAATGGTAAACTTAGCTCTGAAGAAATCGAAAGCAGCACCGATCCTGCTGGAGAAACTGCAGACAATGATTTTTCACAGCGGCGGTAGGATCTTTTGTATTTTATTATGATCATCTTTCTCTTACCTTTGTTTGCAAATTTGAAAAAAAAAATTTCAAACACTTTTAGGGGGCTTGTCGGCCGCTTTGTACTTTCTCATTGTTGGGACCAAGAGGAACCAAAGCTTTTAGTCTGCGAGGCCAAGCGACATCCTCAGGCTGCCAGTCAAAGTACAAAAGAGAAACCTTCTCTGTGGACTCGAAGGGCTTCTTCCAGCATTATGACTATGCCTGCTTGTAACGATACTTCAGCCACCACTAAACGCTTAGCTGCAATCCAGGTTGACTCCTCAAATTCTACTTATAGAAATATAGCAAGAGGAGATTATAAATTTAAACTTTCATTTTCATTGCAGGAGGCAGAAGTGGTGGTGACAACTTTACTCTCATCTCCTGAACATGATGTCCTAATCCAAGACGTGTTTCCATTAGCTGAATATCATTCAGGATTGTTGGGACTGCATGTTCCTTACTACATCTTACTACGCAAGGTACGTGTTGTTTATTTAGAACAGTTTGAATGCTATTCTCCTTGTAATTGAATTTTGTCTTTGTTAGACTCAAGACTGGAAGGTGCAGGCACCAGTTGAAAGAGCTCTTCTACGGGATTTTGAAGGGTTGGCAGACTGTGACAAAGCCACTCGTGAAGCAATCATAAGTTTCAGCTACCATTTAAGCCTGGGAAATATGGACGAAGCTTTTAAAGTTATAAAATCAATGCAAAAGTAAGAAATTTAAATATTTCCGTTGTGTCATTAATCCTATCTTCTGTGACATATGACAGTAGTATCCTGATGTCTTTCCTCTTCCCTCTCAGCACTGTGGTTTGGGAAAGTCTCGCCCGTATGTGTGTGAAGACAAAGCGATTAGATGTTGCTGCAGTATGCCTTGGTCACATGAAACACGCTAGAGGTGCTAGAGCTCTGAGACTTGCTGCATCCGAACCTCAATTAGAAGCACGAGTTGCTGTGCTAGCTGTTCAATTGGGTCTACTGGTAAGTTCTGTGTGCTTGACATCTGCCATTGATCTCTGAAAGATCCAATTAATTTTCTTGCTGATTTAATACTATTCATACTGCATTTTACACCTTATCAAGAACATTTGTGTTCGGATTTTCACTGTATTTTTCTTATTCTATGATTGATATTCCATAATTTATTCAAATAAAATTTTGAATTTTCTTTGTTAGGATGAAGCAGAGAGCCTGTACAGGTCATGTGGGAGATTTGATCTTCTGAACCAGATGTACCAAGCCAGTGACCAGTGGGACAAGGCCCTGGCCACTGCTGAAGAGTCTGACCGAATCCACCTGCGAGGCACTTACCACAATTATGCTGGTGTGTTGGAGCAGCGAGGCGATTCTAGTGGAGCAGCACACATGTACCATCGAGCAGATACGCACAGACACCAAGTACCACGAATGCTTCAACAGGATCCAGCTGCTCTCCAACAGTACACTTTGAAGTCCAAGGACCCGTAAGTTTTTTATCAAGCATGGCAGGAGTTATTTTTCTCTGCTTATTTACTGAAAGGTAACATAAACATCGCAACATTGCATTTGCCCTCTTTTTTTTTCTTCTGCCTTTTAGTACTCTTGTGAAATGGTGGGCTCAGTACTTGGAAAGTACTGGGCAAATGGACGTTGCCTTAAAGTGTTATGAAGAAGCAGCTGACCATCTGTCCATGGTGAGGGTGCTTTGCTTCCAAGAGGCTTATGACAAAGCAGCTCAGGTTGCCAGTGATAGCTCCAACCGAGCCGCTTGTTATCACTTAGCAAGGCAGTATGAAGCAATTGATGAAATCCAGCTAGCGGTGCAATTTTTCACTAGAGCTCAAGCATATGCCAATGCTATTCGTATCTGTAAGGTATGTAGATTGTTGAAGTTTTAAAGGATTTTAATCTCTTCTGTCACTTGTAGCACTCTTCAACCAATTGTATTTTATAGGAGCACAGTTTGGATGAGCAGCTCTGGAACTTATCCCTGCTGGCATATCCCAGAGATCAATTGGAAGCTGCTAGGTATTTTGAAACATGTGAACCACCAGCTCACGACAAGGCAGTGTTGCTCTACCATCGTTCTGGCATGCTCCACAAAGCCTTAGACCTTGCTTTCCGGTAACTTTAACTCTTACCTCATTGGTCCATTTTTTTTTTATTTTCTTTGTAAAAAATGCTAAGTTTTAAATTTTCCTTTACTTTTAGAACACAACAGTTTGATGCGCTTCAACTTATTGCCGTTGACTTAACTTCATCTTCTGACCCAGCATTAATCCAAAAATGTGCCAGGTTTTTTGTTGAAAACAATCAGTTTGACAAAGCAGTGGACCTACTTGCTGTTGGTAAAATGGCAAGTACAGAAAAAAAAAGGGATTGTCCGTCACTACTTTGTTTTATGTCCTCTTATTTTATGATCCATTGTTACAGTACTCTGAGGCATTGGCCCTCTGTGTAGAGCACAATATAACCATGACTGAAGAGCTTGCAGAATGTCTGTCTCCTGAAAAGGGAGAAAGATCAGATGAAGAAAGAACAGCTATTTTAGAGCAACTTGCTGACTGCTGCCAAATTCAAGGAAATTACCACTTGGCCACAAAAAAATTCACTCAAGCTGGAAACAAAGTAATAAATTCAATGTTTTGTGAAGCTCCTTTGGACTTGATTTTGTACTTCTTTTTCACTTCCTCACTTTATTTTTTCATTGTTTACCAGGTAAGAGCTATGAAAGCTCTTCTGAAGTCTGGGGATACTGAAAAGATAATTTTCTTTGCCAATGTTTCTCGTCAAAGAGAAATCTATGTTATGGCAGCAAACTACCTGCAATCCTTGGATTGGCAAAACGAGCCCGCTCTGCTTAAACACATTGTTAATTTCTATACCAAAGGAAAGGCTTTAGATTTGTTGGCTAATTTCTACACTGCTTGTGCCCAGGTTTAAATGAAAAGATTTGAATGAATGTATCTTCTTATTTCTGAGAAATAAATATAAACAGTACCCTCTTTTTGTTGTATTGTAGGTTGAGGTGGATGAGTACCAAAATTACGAGAAGGCTTTGGGTGCATTGGCAGAAGCAAGTCGATGCCTTGCTAAAGCAGGATCTGTGAAAGAAGGAATAGTAGAAGCTGTAAATTTAAGATCAGCCTTAGTAAAGAAGTTTTTAGATGTGAAAAGGTACTGTCATTTTAATGTTCTACTTTGCTTTAAATGTTGAAAATTCAAAGCTTATTTATCCCATTATTTTCTAGAATGTTTGAAAGGGGAGAGACTGATGTTGCTGTGAGTCAGTGCCGTCAGTTGTTGCACAATGCCCCTGATTTGGAAGTGGCTGTCAGAAGGGGAGATGTCTACTGTTTGTTGGTTGCACATGCTGCCAAACAAAGAGACTGGACGAGTGCCGCAAGCCTGATTGAAGAGATGAAGAGGGAGGCAGGAGACAACCTTGCTTATTACCTTCCTGCAGGTAATCACTTTTTTACAACTAAAATTGTTTTTCTATTCATATTATCTCCTCTCCTTTTCTCTTTAAAAATATTTTGTTTATCTATGTCCGCTCCAAGAATTGTTGGAGCTACTTGCAAGTAATGGTGTATCGGTTGGATCAAAGACAACTGAGCCTATCATTGAATCTCCTGATGATGCAGAAGAGATCATTGAAACGGTAGGTGATGTAGACACTGAGTGATATCTACTGGAGAACCAGCCAAAGAGGTAAACTTAACAAACATATCCGTCCATGTACATGTGATTGAGCTATTGATGCTTTACAGTTTGGTGGGTAAATTGATAATGCGTGGATGCTGGTTGTGCTATGTGTTTTGGAGGCATAAAATGCAGTTAGCGCTTTATCATTTGGGATACTTTTTGTTTTAAATCTTTTCTGTGATAGAAACTAACCCAGTATTTAATTCAGAAGTTATGCCTCTGTGTGGCTTGAAAGTTGGGAGCCTATGATTTTAATTAAATTTCCCAGTGGGGAATATGTTTTTGAATTGCATGTGAACTTCAGAATGAGTTAACTGTACTGTACCTCTTTGTGGTTTGTATTGTTGGCCAGTGATAATAATTTTAATGTTTTCGGTTGCACGATATTTTATGTTCTATGTTGTATATTCTGCATGTTATGGGCTAAGTGCATGTTGTCTGTTAGCTGGTCAACTGTGTACCATATTTTTTTGATTCTTTACTTTAGCTGAGGTCATGAAATGGCTAAAAAAAGTATTCTGGATAACTTCATTGAGATGTATTTTGTCACTTGAGATCTAGGTAATACAAAACTGAAACATACAAAGAAAAAAACCAGCAGAGCTATAAAAACAACTTACAAAACGATGATGCTGAAATTTTTGTTTGAGCTCTTTGAATGAGACAAAATTTTATCAAATTATCTATCCTACAAACACATCACATGAAGTGAATTTTCACAAACGCAAACACACCATATGACAATCATCAAACATTGTTAGTCACATGGAAATGCAAAGTCAACAAAAAAAATCAACAAAAAGGCACACATTTCAACTTAGATGCACATCACTTAAAAATACTAGCTTCCATTCACTGTCCTTTTCTTGTGATGTATTTTAACATGACCATAGTGACCATACATTCAAGTGACCATACATATCTTTGTAAGTGACATGATGAGGAGTCTACCATGGGGCAACTATCTGTTAGTCATCTAAATGTGGTCTTTGAGCCGTAATAAGTTACATAATATTTTTTTTCCATATTTTAAAAATATTGCTCATGCGCACATGCTGCCTCATGGTAAATTTTACCTAGTTGTCATTTCTTTTTTCTTCCAAAATAAGGTTTGGGCAACTTTATCCACAAAATAACCAGCTTTTCCTGCCTGTACTATAGAAATAGATGTATTCAAATGCAGTTGTATTCAAATGCAATTTCTTAAGTAAAATATATAATTATGTATCTATAAATTCATTTTCTTGCTTTTAAGAGTTTGACAAGTGGGATATCTGCAATATGATGTATCATCCTTTTTCTGGTCAAGTTTGGATAAAACTTACAATTTTACTCACCCGACATAAGAAACCTTCTGAATTGAAAGTGGCAACAGGAAGGGACTGTAAGGGGAATGTCTTGCACTTATAATATGTCAGTATGTCTCTACATTATCACTACAACGCTGATGGAATTCGTACAAAACATCTTTGAATATTTTATCAATCGCGTTCTACCCCATCCTACTGGCTCACATCAACTCTATTCCGACAAGTCACTAGAGTCCTATTTCAGAACTCTACAAGTCACAGGCTAACATGTAACACAGAAAGCACACAGCTACACGTTAGCTCTAGTTTCTTTGTTTGTATATGTACATTTATTCATGAAATTGGATTTGGTGTTTCGCAGACTGTAAAACTTTGTGCCTTTGCACAACTAATTTTTTCAAACGGAACTTATGAATAATGTATTAGTTATTTAAAGTACATAATAAAGGGCCATTCTCATCATTTCTCAGAGTTCCCTTCTCAAACCCATAGTGAATTATTTCAGAGATGACTCCTTCACTTGTGCAAGTAAACAACCAACAAGGCCACATTTTGTATCTATTTTTAAAAATTGGGCATGCAAAAAAAAAAAAAAAACAGAAAGAAAGATAATGAAATAATGATAATTGGTTTCTGAAGTGATTGCTGAGAGGCGTTAACTCCATGAGACATTACAAATTCACTTAAAATGTTATCACAGTAAATAGTAGGTGAATGATTTCCTTGCATACAAAAAAAGGATTTTTGGTTTCAAATGGAATTTTGGTGGCATTAATCTCTAAGGCACTGTTCCTGAAAACCTGTTTTTAAATCTCTTGTTCAATACTGGTTACTTACACATTTCGATTGCCTTATGTGCCACCCACCACTTCTTTACGGTCTCAAAGAAACTCAGGGTGAAACCAAAAACAAATCGAATCTAGGAACATTTTAAACCAAAGTGCAAATATCCTTTCACCTTTCCCTTTAAACCCTGCATGCCGGTTTCCATCTTGTGAAAGTCACCTTCCTTTCACAACTTAGGACAATGATAATTCTTCACAACTTAGATTCAAATCGAATTGAGAAGCCTTGAAATTGATTAGAAGTTGCATGACTATCTTCTCTTGAAGAAACAGGACTCCCCTGGTCGTTAGTTGTGTTGCTGACATAAATGCAACAAATATCTCTGTCCTTTCAAGGACTCCATTAAAAATGCTTCTGATTGATCGCACAAAAGGAATGTAGTCTTTATTGTGCCTCAGAAACTCCATATATGACTTTCATGTCCATGGCATCCTGTTGTAAGAATTGTCATTGTTCTTCTCTACTAACTGGAATTACTTTGACACAAAATATAAACATATTCTAATAACTATCCAGCCTATTTTACAAATACATTACTTACAGTATTATTATTTGGCATGAGTAAGAGTAAGCATCCTGGGGCATTTACTTCTGTCTGTACAAATAATGACATTGCTTCTTTAACTTCTACCCGTGAGCTCAGAACTAACTTACACCTTCACAAGTACTCTTACACAAAAACTCTGACATTGGTGAGTTATTTACTTTGTTCTGAATGTACATAAACCAACCATTAAAGTACATCAAATTTTATTGCCTTGCTAAAACCATTAGATCTCAGAGAAATTTTATTTGAAAGCCTTTATGGTATCATTGTTAGATCTTTCAGAATTGATACATCAGATGTGTCATTATTATAGATAGTGTTGTACTATTGCAGAACAGGATGGAATAAAAGAATTTAAACAGAAATTTGGTGTTCCATTTTTAACTAAACCATGTTCTTATGATTGGTTTGCTGCTCACCACTTCCACTTAGTGCATTGTAAGAAGTCCGTGAGCAAGCAATTGTAAATTACCAGGTAATGCGGACATGAAATCTCAACACTCTACGGTGGGTTTTAAAAAATAATCTGTTTGAGCAATTCAGTAAAGATCTGAGGCTTAACGACTCTTATAGGCTTGGATAGAGTCCATTAAAATTTAATCAATGAGCCTAATTATTTCACCTAAAGTTATTCTAAACTTTCATTGCTTTCGCAACTTAATTGTAACACGATTTATATCACAAATAACTTACCAGTTTCATACTCTCTCATGGGATAAGTCTGCGCTTAAAGCGCTGGATCAAAATAACGAAGAAAAATAATGACTTTAAGCACCATATTGATATTTTTCAAGTAATGAAAATAACAATAAAAGAATCTTGTAATTTAATTTAACAAAGACTAATAATTTACTTTTTATTTGGTGACTTTGCTCAAGACCTGCTTGAGCAGTTGGAATAATTCTGTGCTGAAGCTTCAGACTTTGATTCATGTAAGGGGGAAAAAGAAAAACTTAATATCACAAAACTGAGTGAGTAGCAAAACAAAGGGTCATTTCGCTACAGCCAAATGCAGCTGGGAGTCACATTTGGACACTCTTTGAATGCACCACTGGCCCTATGGCTAACCGGAGTTGGGAGCACGTCTCCGTCTCGCCCGTCTCCCGCACAACCGCACTCCTCGCCCTGATTCCCTTGTCCCAAGTCTGGAGGGGAGATTTAGATTTTGCTCGTAAGAAGAGTCCACTCGATCTCGAGGCTACAGCATGCGATAAGAGAAGAAGGTATCCGATCCGGGGCGGTGATGGTGGTGGACGGGATCGCGGGGAGGGGATGGCGGTGTTGTGCTCGGGCGGCCCTCTCCGCCCTCTGCCACCGAGGCCAAGGCCAAGGTCACGGCCAAGGTCAAGGTCGTCTAGGTCCGGACGGAGTCGCGGGCGAAGGCCACGTTGTCGTACACGAAGTGCGAGATGATGTGGCCGTTGCCGTTGAGGCAGTCCAGCTTGACGGCCCCCACGCCCTCCCGGAAGTCGCTGGAGGAGCGCTCCTCGTCCACCACCTTGGTGCCGTCCTCGCGGGGGCACCACATGGGGCTGGCGCGGTACAGGTCCTTGCCGACCTGCAAGCAGCGGGAGCCCCGGGTAAACAACAAACACAACAACAACAACGGTTGCTTGAAATAAAGGGTCCCGTCAAACGCGACTGCCTCCTGGACTGCCTACTCAGCGTCCCGCAGGTGGTCTAGCCTCTCAAGTTCAAGTTCAAGTTCAGGCCGAGGGAGGGGCTATGGCGTTAAGGCAGACGATCACTTGTGGTCCAGCCGTTAATCGCAATCGCAATCGCCTGGCGGGTGGGCAGTCCCGGATGCAGCCGTGTTCGACGGGACGGCATCGCTGTCGGATGGGTGGCCTGCGCGCCAGGCGCTCTTGGAAGCTTGAAGTTGAACTTGAGTTCGGGACTCTGTCCGAAATCCGAATCTAGGGCTGTGTGAAATACTCGACTTCTAATCGACCCTGATTCAATTCGATTCGTTGTCGAAACCGCGGGTCGATTCAAATGTTCTGTTTCTGAGAAGGAAACTAAAAAAAAATGGGGTTCGATCGGGTTCGATTCGATACGCCAATATTTAGAAGTGAAAATTCTGGATCGGCATCCTAATCCGAGGTAGGTCGAGAAAAGCCAATAAAACGGGGCAAAGAATGTCCTGACTGACCTCCTTGCCGTAGATGATCCGGTACACCGCGAAGGCGGGGAAGGGCAGCAGCGTGGAGATGGAGATGAGCCAGCCTATGACGTCGGCCCATGGCGGGAACTTGTACGAGCCGTACGCCGCCGGCACGTACTGGCTCATGACGAACAGGAAGACGGCCTGCAACGGGAGCGCGACGACCGAGGAGTTATTGCCGAGTTTGTCTCACATGTCAGGACACATTGTCACGCACAACACGCACCAGAGAAATGATAGGAGAAGCAAACACCCAGACGAAACGCCAGTACGCTCGGATCGGACGGTAGAACTTGATGCCCATCTCGGAAAGATTTTCCAAAAACCTCTCGCAACCTGGAGGAAAACGGAAACATGTTAGGAAGATAGGAGGATAGGGCGACTCAAGTACACGCCCGATGTGCTCTGAGCACTTTGCAGTGTAGGTGCTGCTACGCGGGGCGGACTCACCGTACACCCAGGACACGACGATGATCTCGGCGAAGCCGATGAGCAGGATGGCCCACGAGGCCGTGTTCCAGTCCAGCAGCGTGAACATGTAGACGCCGCCCGAGTAGCACATGGGGATCTCCATGATGAAGATGCCGAGGCAGGACAGCATGGTGACCAGCCACTGCTTCTTGCGCAGGTTGGGCCACTTGTCGATGAGCGCCGTGGTGATGGCCTGCACGCCGGCGAACTGCGAGCGGAAGGGCGTCGCGTTACCCAAGGAGTCAAACTCCACTTTGATGTCATTCAGGCGCGGAAGGCGGTGAAGCCGCCTAAAGGTAGGCAATTAGTCGCACTTAGCCCCTGTAGGTAGGCAACTTTTGTGACCCCCCCCCCCCGGGGTCTCTGGATCCGCCCTTGATGTCATTTCAGTCACTTTAGACTCGAGCAAAGCATCAAAATTGCCGATCTTTGTTTTATGTTCCTCGTGCGGGTACACTGTGAATCTTTGTTGTCACTTTATGACGAAATAGTGGGTGACAGTGCTATCACTTTCAAAAGATGGTGATCTTATCAAAGCTCTAACATGTCCATGCCCTCGACAAGTTTGTTGAAAATCTTGTCTAGAAAATCAGCTTTGAAGTGGCAATCAAAATTTTCGCAGTGTAGGGCTCTTTAACATTTTAGGCGTTGTACCTTTTTTTTTGGGGGGGGGGTGAACCAAGGGATCGCAACAAGCCGAAGGTTAGGTTAGATCAGGTTAGGTAGGGTTAGGTTAGGGTTGGGCGGAGGGGGGGAGGTATTTTTTGAACGACGGGATCGTTGGCGGTTGGTGGCTCACCTGACTGCCGAGGCCCAGGATGAAGAGCATGAAGAAGAAGAGCACGGCCCAGACCTGCGGGGCGGGCATGCGGAGGATGGCCTCGGGGTACACGACGAAGGCCAGCCCCGGCCCCGAGTCCACCACGTCCGTCACGGCCACGCCCTGCTGGTTGGCCAGGAAGCCCATGACGGTGAAGACGGCGAAGCCCGCGAACACCGCCGTGCCCAGGTTGGCGACGGACACGATTAGGGCGTCGCTGCAATGGAAGGCCGCCGAGTTGAAGCAAAGCGTCGCACAGTGGGCCCGCCAGGAGACCGGCGCCGGCGGCCAAAACTCTAGACGCGTTTTGAGTTCCAGAGTCGCTGAACAGGACTCGAACCGAGCGTGTGACCCCACCAATGGATTCCTCGTTCGGAGAGCAATCCATTGGTGGAGCTACACGTTCGGTTCTAGTCCCATTTACCGACTCTGGAGCGCAAAACGCGTCCGAGTTTCTGGCCCACTGCGTCGAAACGCTCCGAATAGCGACAGGGACGGGGCGACGAGACGACTCTTCTGAACCACTCGGCAGCTGAATTGGGACTCACGTGTGGCAGTTGTTGGAGAACTTGCTGTAGGAGGAGAGGGTGATGAGGGAGCCGCAGCCGATGCCGAACGAGTAGAAGACCTGCGAGGCGGCGTCGCCCCACACGTTGGCGTCCAGCAGCGTCTCCCAGCGCGGCGTGATGTAGTACGTGACGCCCTCCCAGGCGCCCTCCAGCGACGCGCCTGCAAAGCACGGCGAAGCACCACACTGGTAACACTGCAGCGGGGAGTGGCGCGGTGCCCCTCGAAGGGCATTAGTTCGTACGCGCCGCTTACAGCGCTGCGGACAAGAGCTCATGCGCCCCTGTCATCATCTTTAAAAGCACGGGGGAAATGGCCTGAGAAGGTTAGGTTAGATTTGGCGCCAAAGGGAATGGAATCAGGGCGGGCCGCCCCTGTACACGGTGAGGTTAGGTTAGGTTAGGTCAGGTTTGGTGCCAAAGGGAATGGAACCAGGGCGGGCCGCCCCTGCTGTACACAGTGACAATGTAATGCCCGGCGGTCCCCTGCGACACCCTTCGAAACGCCTCGCTCCGTACAGTGGGCCAGAAGGCCGGTGGAGGCGGCCGAAACTCTGGACGCGTTTTGAGCTCCAGAGTCGCTAAATGGGACTCGAACTGAACGTGTGATCCCACCAATGGATAGCTCTGCGAACGAAGAATTCATTGGTGGGGTTACACGCTCGGTTCGAGTCCTGATTTGCGACTGTGAAGCTCAAAACGCGCCTTTGGCCGCCTGAGCCGGCGCCGGCCTTCTGGCCCACTGTGCCCCGGGACCCGGGACCTTGACTGGGCGTACTCGGCGGTGCGCACCATCTGCCGGCGGTAAGCACTTGAAACCTCCCCGTGACGGGGGCGGGAGGGCGGCGTACGTACGTACGAGGCTCCGAGGCCCCCCCCCCCCCCTCTCTGCACGTCATCGCGGCGTTGGCGATGGCGACGCGCGTGCTGAGCTGTGAAATGGACTCTCTTCGCCCGCCTCGCCCACACCCACGCGACCACATGCGGCATCGGCGCCCCTGCAGACTGATTCCGAGAGTCGTTTTCGTCGCTCTGTCTCTCTGGCACCTATAAGGGACGCCCGATGAGTGCGAGAGAGACAGAGCGACGAAAACGACTCTCGGAATCAGTCTGCAGCCTCGCGCCCAGCTTCACGAGCGGCTTGGCGCCTGCCTGCCTGCACTGCGGGCTGAGTGCTTTCGTCTCTCTGTCTCTGTCGTTGTCGCGGGGCGGTCCGTAGGGGTGCGAGAGAGACAGAGCGACGAAAGGACGCGCCCTCCTGCTTGTGGACCACCTCGGAGGCACGCTTTCGTCGCTCTGTCTCTGTCGTTGTCGCGGGGCGGTCCGTAGGGGTGCGAGAGAGACAGAGCGACGAAAGGACGCGCCCTCCTGCTTGTGGACCACCTCGGAGGCACGCTTTCGTCGCTCTGTCTCTGTCGTTGTCGCGGGGCGGTCCGTAGGGGTGCGAGAGAGACAGAGCGACGAAAGGACGCGCCCTCCTGCTTGTGGACCACCTCGGAGGCACGCTTTCGTCGCTCTGTCTCTGTCGTTGTCGCGGGGCGGTCCGTAGGGGTGCGAGAGAGACAGAGCGACGAAAGGACGCGCCCTCCTGCTTGTGGACCACCTCGGAGGCACGCTTTCGTCGCTCCGTCTCTGTCGTTGTCGCGGGGCGGTCCGTAGGGGTGCGAGAGAGACAGAGCACGAAAAGGGCGCGCCCTCCTGCTTGTGGACCACCTCGGAGGCACGCTTTCGTCGCTCGTCTCTGTCGTCCGGAGGCGTATGGGGGCGAGAGAGAGAGCGACGAAGACGCTGCCGTGGTGGACACCGTCGGAGGCCGCCTTGCCGGAGCTCTGCACGCCGCGCGCCAGGCACGCGTACAGGACGACCCACGAGAGGAACAGGAACAGGCACAGCGTCCAGTGGAACTCGCCCCAGTTCTCCCAGGTGGCGTTGTTGCGTCCCAGCACGTAGTCGCTGGAAGAAAGAGAAAAGAAAGTAAGTTCTCGTCCTAGGAGAACAGACAGTCGCATTGAGGTCGTCTAGAGCGGCGTGCGAGTGCGTCACCCGTCACCCTTACGGTCCACTTTTTGACATCCACGCCTATAGAGGACTTCGGCCTACAGAAGAAGAGGAGGAATACTGGATGTTGCAGCGGCAGCCCATAACAAACCCTCACTTGTTTCTACCCCCTCCACCCCTATTTGGCCGCGGCCGTCGGCTGCTTTGGGGTGGAGGGGGTAGAAACAAGTGAGGGTTTGTTATGGGCTGCCGCTGCAACATCCAGTATTCCTCCTCTTCTTCTGTAGGCCGAAGTCACTCTGTTCCTCCCCCGGTCGTCAGTCTCGCACCGTGATCGGCGTTCGAACCCCTTCCCTCGTCGCCTCTTCAGTGACGAAGTCATACATGTACGCCGCTTTCGCGCCCATCTGACCCGATATTTTGTCTTGATGAATGTCTCGTTAAGTTGAGAGTGGCCCCTCAGCGACCTTCCGGTTCCTTCGGGGTTGCCGCGGCGAGTCTTACTTGTAGAACTCCTCGGAGGCGAGCACGCGCTTCAGGATGGTCTTGAGCGACTCCTGGGCCTGGGCGTTGCCGCAGTGCGTGGCGTTGAGGGCCACCATGCCCCTGGTGCTGCACACGTCGGCGATCTTGACGCACGTCCGGTTGTAGTACGTCATGAGCGACGCGGGGTCCGTGCCGTTGGACTGCGCCATGCACTCGTCGTTGGCGCTGTAGCTGAAGCAGCCTGCGGGAAAAAAAGGCGGCGTCACACTTTGAGGGGACTCGAACCCGCGACTAGTAGGAGCGCCCGACAACGTACCCCTCCTCAGGGCAGGGAGACCACGCCAGACTACGGGAGGGGAAAGTCTTGGCCTTGACTGAGAGACACGGGAAAGCAATGACATGAGAATCACGCTGCTCTCCCTGGAGCGGCACGCCTGCCAACGAGCAGTGGGCTGGGACGTACACTGCACCCAGGCACAAGGCTCGCTCCAGGTGGAGTGTGCCAATTCAGTTTGCAGAGCGGCCAGGCCGGCTAGGCCGACAAGAAGAGGACTTGGGCGGGTACTCACGCGGAGAGTTGAAGTCGTGCTTGCAGGAGCCCCAGCCCAGCTCGTAGCTGAACGAGTTGAAGATGTAGAACAGCGCCCATGCCACGATCACCTGGTAGTACACGGTGATGAGCGTGATGACGACCAGCGTGCAGTAGCCCAGGCCTGGAACAAGGAAAACAAACCACGTTCATTTTCTTCCGACTGTCTTTCTCTAGGTCTCAGGTGCGGATCCAGGGGGGAGGGACAATGGACGCTCATTTGGTCTCTAGACAGCCGCCTGCAAGGCAGGCAAAAAGCCACACTTTGCCTCTGTAAGTTGGCAAAAAGCGCTACTTTGCCTCTCCTCTCCCTCAAGCCGGGTCTGCTCTGTATCCGCCACTGCTATGTCTTCGCCACCCCCAATTGGCTCTGGCTGGCCCGCTGCGGCGCTGCACTGTACACGGCGGCCGGCTAGATTCATGCGCGCGCCAGGCCCAGGCCCAGCCAGGCCCAGGCCCAGCCAGGCCCAGGCCCAGCCAGGCCCAGGCCCAGCCAGGCCCAGGCCCAGCCAGGCCCAGGCCCAGCCAGGCCCAGGCCCAGCCAGGCCCAGGCCAGCCGGCCAGGCCCAGCCCAGGCCAGGCCCAGGCCAGGCCCAGGCCCAGCCAGGCCCAGGCCCAGCCAGGCCCAGGCCCAGCCAGGCCCAGGCCCAGCCAGGCCCAGGCCCAGCCAGGCCCAGGCCCAGCCAGGCCCAGGCCCAGCCAGGCCCAGGCCCAGCCAGGCCCAGGCCCAGCCAGGCCCAGGCCCAGCCAGGCCCAGGCCCAGCCAGGCCCACCAGCCAGGCCCAGCCCAGCCGGGCCCAGGCCCAGCCAGGCCCAGGCCCAGCCAGGCCCAGGCCCAGCCAGGCCCAGGCCCAGCCAGGCCCAGGCCCAGCCAGGCCCAGGCCCAGCCAGGCCCAGGGCCCAGCCCAGGCCCAGGCCCAGCCAGGCCCAGGCCCAGCCAGCCAGGCCCAGGCCCAGCCAGGCCCAGGCCCAGCCAGGCCCAGGCCCAGCCAGGCCCAGGCCCAGCCAGGCCCAGGCCCAGCCAGGCCCAGGCCCAGCCAGGCCCAGGCCCAGCCAGGCCCAGGCCCAGCCAGGCCCAGGCCCAGCCAGGCCCAGGCCCAGCCAGGCCCCAACCAGGCCGGTCGGGCCAGCCAACATGAAAGGACGAATATAAAGCACACCTGCCACTGCAGGCGCGCGTCATCATCGGATTCAAAATAAAAACACGACGGCTGCCATGGCGCTTCTCCCGCTCGTGCGGCCCGGGCCCTGCAACCCTAACCTCCATAAGCTCACTTACCTAACCTCACAAGTCGCAAAAGACAGCATTGGTCGCTCGCGCCATGCAATGGGCGTGTCACATAAGAAGAACGCCGCAAGCGTCAAAGTTACGACTCACAACGTGACCGTCGAGCGGCCGGCTGACCTTCTGGCGCATTCTCTAGCGCCTGTGAGGTAGGTCAACGGGCCGGCCCGCAACACGCCGGCGTGCAAACAGTGGCCTACCTTGCCCACCTGATGACGTAAGGGGCGAGGTAGGCCACCGTCTTTACACCGGTGCGTTGCGGGACGGGCAGTCGGCTTGCCTCACAGGCGCTACTTTATCTCGGGCTGGATCACAATGGATCGTCTGCCACTTCGGGGCGGTAAACGTAAATCCCGAATTCCGAATCGCCCAAAAGTGCCCGATTCTCGTTTTCAAAGAGACGGCTCGAACTTGGCGCGCGAACTCCGACCATCGCCGGGCCGCACCGCTGCCTTCGGAGCCGCGCGCTCGAAAGCCGAGTTGGAGTAGAAGCGGTGGCGCGACGGGCGTGTTTATGTTTTGAAAAGTGTTTCGTGAGTGGCTCGTCGGTCTAACGTGACAAAATAGCTTCGCAGTGTTCTGAAGTGGATGTCCGGGCGTGCCTGGAGCTACATGTCATGTCCTGTTCGTATCGATTTGCTGTGAGAAGGTGAGTGAAATTCGACCGAAGCTTAACCTCTTCTCCATCCAACACGGCGGGCTCGGCTTGCACCGATTCACGTAGTCTCTTGGTTTGCACTTCCAAACCGTGAAAGAAGGAGGTGTGAAGGGCGCGAGCGCGAGCCGATTGTAGTTTGAACGAACCGATATCTTCTAGCGGCTCTGTCATTATAGCCATCTAATTTGATCAGTTTAGCAGCTCTATCAAAACATTGTCCGGAGCGGCGGCGGCAGCCGGGCTGCGTCCGCAGCGGGTCGTTTCGGCCGCCGCTGTCAAAAGCCGGAGAGGTATAGACGACTTGAGCTAGGCGAAAGAAGAGGAAGAAAACACCTTCCCGAACATGGCGGCCGGCCCCTCATTGGTCCTAGCAGCCGACGGCGGCCGGCCGCCATGTTCGGGAAGGTGTTTCCTTCCTCTTCTTTCGCCTAGCTCAAGTCGTCTATAACTTTTGAGTGAAGGCGACTCGGCAACGTGTGAGTCTCAAAAACGGAATTGCGTGATTCGAAATTCGAGATCTTTCTTGACCGTGCACAGTGACGAACAGCTTCTAGCCTAGCTTACTTCAAAGCGTTTGATATGCCGGCCACATGGATAAGGGGGCGAGTCTTATGCGAGGAGTATCGACGACTCATCCCTCGTCTCTCTCACACACTGGCGACACGACTTGTCAGCGACGCGTGTCCCCGCGTGGCGTGCCGTGTCGTGTTGTCGCTCGGCGTGTCGGCGTGTCGAAGGCGCCGTAAACCACTTTGCGGCGCGTGCCGAAAGGACCGAAGGGGACCGAAGGGGAGCGTGTTGTCGTTTTGGCACCACCGCCCCGCCAGTGGATCAAGGGCGGCGCGTTTAGTGCGTCGTCCGCCACGGCAGCCCCTACACTGCCTCGTCGCTCTCTCTCTCTCTCCCTCTCTCTCTCTCTCTCTCTCCCTCTCTCTCTCTCTCTCTCTCTCTCTCGCACCTCTGCGGACCGCCCCACGAGTGCGAAAGAGACAGAGACAGAGAGAGAGAGAGAGAGAGAGAGAGAGAGAGAGAGAGAGAGAGAGAGAGAGAGAGAGAGAGAGAGAGAGAGAGAGAGAGAGAGAGAGAGAGAGAGAGAGCGAATGAGTCAGCGCTGCGACGGCGACGTGCGGCGACGTGCCCGTCAAGCGGCGGCCGCGACAGGCCGCGATAAGCGCGACGTTTACTGACCGCCGTAGCCTCAATCCGCGCTCAGGTCGTCGACGCGCAGCGTCGTTTCTTCTCTCTCGCACGCCCACGGGACGCCCCACAGTGGGCCAGAAGACCGGTGAAGGCGTCCAAAACTCGAGACGTGTTTTGAGCTCCAGAGTCGCTAAATGGGACTCGAACCGAACGTGTGGACTCCACCAATGGATTGCTTTCCGAACGAGGAATCCATTGGTGGGGTCACAAGTTCGGTTCGAGTTCTGTTTAGCGACCTGGAGCTCAAAACGCGTCTAGAGTTTTGGCCGCCTCCACCGGTCTTCTGGCCCACTGTGCGCCCCACGAGTGCGACGGAGCGTCGAAACGACTCTTTGGAGAGATCCCGCACCGCACAGCGTTCAAACGGACTTCACCTCGGTTTGGAGCCGTTGAACCAAAGCAGATTAGGACGCGGTAGAAGAGAGCCAAAGACACCTCTTTATGGAGGACTCAGACACGGGTAACCCGCGTATCCGGGAAGACCGCGAAGAACCGACGAAACCGGACCTATAGGCCTCAAAATGAGTACCCGGCTGGGGTGTCAAGCGTCAAGCAGAACCCGGGCTACCCACTTTCGCGGGTTACCCACTCTCAACCACTACCCAGCCCATATTTCTCACATTTTTTCCACGACAAGTACACTTCTGGCGCGCGTTTCTGCCTCTGCCATTCTTAGGCGGATCGTCAGAGTGGCGCGCCGCGGCGTCACGTTTTGGCGCCAAAATCGCGCGCGCTCCGCGATCGAGTACAATCGAGGTATCCAGTGGCGCGGTGCGGCACGGCACGGCCGTTCGATTGGCGGCGGAGCGGTGGATTGCGGATTGTGAGTGGCACTGTGGCATACTGTGGCACACTGTGGCACACTGTGTGGCGTGTTGCGCCGAGCCATTCATGGATCGCATGCCGCCAACGCGCCAACGCGGCGCGGGCCAAAAGTACACACTGTATTACGTGTATTTAGAGACGGGCCTCAAACAAAGATGACAAAGGGGCGAAGTGGGGGGATGTAAATGACAGGCAGACATGCAGACTGATTCCGAGACTCGTCGCTCTGTCTCTCTCGCACCCAAACGGGACCCCGCACGAGTGCGAGAGAGACAGAGCGACGAAAACGACTCTCGGAATCAGCACGCTGCTGCGCCGTGCCAAGCCAAAGGGGGACGGGGTCTCCTATTTTTCGGCGCCTTTTTGTCCGCCCGTCCAATCTGAGTGGCGACGCGAATTTCCCCCGGGCTGCTTCCGAAACCGGCCGCTGCCGTCTACCGTCGCGTCTGCGGAGAGAAAGAGAGACAGAGACAGTTTGTCTTCTTGTTTCGGGCGCGGCATCGCCCACCTGGCGAGCTGTTGCGCGTGCGGGCTGCGGAGCTGCGGGCGTGCGCGCGGACCCGGATGAAAAATTCATCCTCGCGTGGATCACGAACGGGGGCCGCGTCGAAAAGTCGCAGGCGGCGACCTGGAAGTGACCGGAAGTGACCGACAGCTGATTGGCAGGTGAGGCGGGTCGGCTTGGCTGGCTTCCGGGCCGGAAGTGGGCGGGGCGCCCTGGCGGCGAAAGGAGGCCGACGCGACATTTTGGAGGAAAATTTAATGTCTCATCCTTATTCATGGACGAATCAATGGATGATGGAAAAGGGGGGCGGGGGGCATTAATGCCGGATGCCTGATGGTCGCAAATCCCATCGCGCGCTTTGAACCGGAAGGAAGAAAGCTCGGCAACGAGAAGGCCTGGGAATCTGCGTCGTCAGAACGGCGATCTGCGTCCCGCGCGGAGAAGCATTAAATTTGTCACTCCTCTGTTGTTGCTCCTCTCTAACACGAATCACGCCCCCGTGGACGCGGCACGCGCTTAGAGACGCTGCTCGACTGATCCCGAGAGACGTTGTCGTCGCTCTGTCTCCCTCGCACCTATACGGGACGCCCCTTGAGTGCGAGAGAGACGGAGCGACGAAAACGACCCTGGGAATCATTGTGCTGGCCGGGTGCTCGCTCGCACTGCTAATCGGCCTCGGAGTCGCGACGCCGCTCGCCTGGAGCTGCTAGATAAAGCGGGACTTGTGTCCCCGGAGTCCCCGCCCCCTCCCCCCGCCAGCGCACACAGCGCACACAGCGCGGGCGGGGAGCATAATTGGACATCTTCTAATTGGGACTCGAACGGGGAGCGGGGCGCCTAGTCGGGAAGTCGGGAGGTGCTAGTCTGACGCCCATCCAGCAGAAGCTCCAGCAGCGTGGCTCCGCGGCTGCAGACTGGAGCGCCTGTGAATCGGCGGGTAGGCAAACCGCAGCGCGCCGCACCGGCCGGGATGCCTACCCACAGTACCATTACCACTACGGGCTGGACCACAACTGGTAGCAGTTTCGACGGCGGCTGGACCCGGTTGGACTGGACCACACTGGTAGAACTGAAGCGTTGTTTTACGCCTTTATTCAAGCGTACTGGTCACTATGCTTGGCTCAAGCGCGATGGTTAAAGTACTATGCTTGACTTTAAACGTAGTAGTTTCAATGCTTGGCTTCACGCGTAGAGCTCCATCCTCCACTCCAGCCTCCGCTCCAGCCTCCGCTCCAGCCTCCGCTTCAGCCTCCGCTCCAGCCTCCGCTCCAGCCTCCGCTTCAGCCTCCGCTCCAGCCTCCGCTCCAGCCTCCGCTTCAGCCTCCGCTTCAGCCTCCGCTCCAGCCTCCGCTCCAGCCTCCGCTCCAGCCTCCACTCCAGCCTCCGCTCCAGCCGCCCATTGAGCCAGAGGGCAGGCAGCGGGCAGACGGGCTGGGCTGCGGGGTTGGCCGGACGCAGGTGGCGTTTGCGCGCGAACGCAGTGCGAACGCACCGCCGGCGCGGGGGTGGCTTCAAACGTTGACGTCACCGCCACCCCTCCGGGCCCTCCGGCTCTCCAGACCCTCCCCCTCCCCTGCCCCGGCCGTGCCCAGGCGGGGGGCGTGGCGAGTAACGCCCCTGGCGTGACGTCACGCGGTCGATCCCCGTCCATCCTCGCGATCCCCTCCCCCCCGCCGACGCCCCCGCCGTGACAGACGGCACGTCGGCCGCCAGACTGGTTCCGGAGTCGTTATTTCCGTCGCTCTGTCTCTCTCTGGCAGCGGCGTCCTGCACAGGTGCGAGAGAGACGGAGCGGCAAAATAAAGGACTCCCGGAATCGGTCTGTGGTCGGCCCCGTCGGCCCGGAGACGAGGATACGCCACTGTCTTGTTCCCGTCGGCCGAATGATGCATGGTGAGGCCGTTGTTACGCCAGTCCCGAGGTCGCAGGTTCGAATACCACCAAAGGTTGTTTTCTCCGGCTTTCCCCCTCTCATTTTTGAAAGCCCCATCCGTTCGTGATTAATGAGTTAAACACTCCACTCAGCATCATCTGCCTTCACGTTAGTTACTACGTCTTTTTGTTTGGGTTCATTTTTTCACAGCTACCCCACCACGCAATTGCAAAATTTCCTGTTGATTTCTCTTTTTTCCGCGTTGGCTGGGTATTGAGTGGCGAGATGGGGCGGTGCGGGTTCTGTTTGTTCAGTCCGACGTGTCTGACGGTGCGGCGCGCGGCTGGAGCGCACCGACGAAGCTCTGCAGGCTGATTCCGAGAGTCGCTTTCGTCGCTCTGTCTCTCTCGCACCTTTTGGAGACGCCCCCTGAGTGCGAGAGAGACAGAGGCATGACTCTCGGAGTCGCCCACGGTGGCGCCCTACCTCCATGAAGGCCCAGCGTATTGCCGCATGGACCCGGAGGGAAACGGTGGACAGCAGTGCACGTTGCAGGACGCTGTTTGAGTTTCATTCCGGGTAGGTACGTCCCCGCCGAGGCTGCGGGGGCCCCATCCGACCCAACGCTACCCGAGCCCCAAGCGGGCCGCCGCCACCGCCCCACACTGTAAGGCGATCCGTGTTGTCGGTGTTGAGTTTCGAGTGCTTTCCGTCAAAGCGCGGCGGAGGGTAGTTACACCGGCCAGGCAATATTCAGGGGGTGATTCGCCGGCTGCGCCTCCGCCGCCCCTCCGCCCCGCATCACAAATTCCATTAGCCTGTCTATTACGGTGCGCGCCGCGGCTTCGTTCCGAAAACAGGGCTTTCGTCGCGCTGTCTCTCTCTCGCGAGAGAGAGAGAGAGAGAGAGAGAGGGGAGGAGGAGAGGAGGGGAGAGAGAGAGAGAGAGAGAGAGGGAGGGAGAGAGAGAGAGAGAGGGGAGAGGAGAGAGAGGAGAGAAAAGCGAGGGGGAGAGGAGAGAGAGGGGAGAGGAGAGGGAAGAGAGAGAGAGAGAGAGAGAGAGAGAGAGGAAGAGAGAGGAGAGAGGAGAGAGAGAGAGAGAGGAGAGAGAGAGAGAAAGAGCGCCGACGCACCAGGCCACCACCGGGTTGCTGCAGGCTGATTCCGAGAGTCGCTTTCGTCGCTCTGTCTCTCTCGCACCCATACGGAACGCCCCATGAGCGCGAGAGGGACAGCGACGAAAACGACTCTCGGAGTGAGTCTGCTGGAGAGTGGCGGCACCGCGCACGCTGCGCACCGTTCGCTTTGTCCTTGTTACTCCCATCGCTTCCGTCTGACCTGCCACGCCGTCCTTTGAGCAGGTCGTCCCTTTGCCGCGCGCCGCGCCGCGCAGAACAAACGAGAGCGAAACAGACAGCGGCGCAAAAACACGGCGCTCTTTTGCATCCCTTTTGTTTTCCGCTTCGTCATTCGGCAATAACGCAGCATGCTTCGCCGTGCTTCGCCGTGCTTCACCCGGACCGCTTCTAGTGGCGCGGCGCCGCGGCTCCCGAATTCAATTCCGCGGTTTGTGTTTTTGTTCCTCCCACGCCGCGGCAACCGCTCGCTCTGCACCAGCAGGGCAATTCCGCGCAGCCGTCGGTCTGACCCTCTCGCACTCATGGGACGCGCCGCATCAGTGAGAGAGAGAGAGAGAGAGAGAGAGAGGGGGAGAGAGAGAGAGAGAGAGAGAGAGAGAGAGAGAGAGAGAGAGAGAGAGAGAGAGAGAGAGACTTCCATTGTCAGCGGACCCCCTTTTTCTAATCCGGAGGTACCTCTTCCCGCCCTTCCCGCCGTTAATCTCATTCTCCGGCCAGAACCGCGGGGCCCTTTCTCCTCCGAGCCTCCTCTGTTCCTCGTCCTGCCGCACTCCCCGCAGGGCTCCGGAAAGGGAGGGGGGGGGGGGCGAGGGGCACGCAGCAAGCATCCGAGTCTCGCCCTCTCCGCGCCCAAGGTCACATTTGGGAGCCGGCGGAACGTGGAGGGCGGCGAACGGGAAAGGCCCCAGATAGGGGGAGCGAGAGGGAGAGATTTGGGGGGGGGGGGGGGGAAAGAAAGAGAGAGAGAGAGAGAGAGGGGGGGGGGGCGGGAAAAAGAGGGGTGAGGAGGGAGAGAGAAAGATGAGAGAAGTTTTTGATATACGCGGAGAGCATGCCACGTTTCACACCCCCTCCCTCCGGCCCCCTCGACCATTTCTTCGCTTCGAAGGAATGTCCATACAGCCGAGAGGGGAAATGATAGCAATGCCGAGAAGTCTTTTAAGAGTGAGAGGGCGCAGGTGGCTGGGAAGATGAGGCGGCGGGCGTGGTGGCCCGTGCGGGAGTAAATAGGGGTGGGGGAGGGGAAAGGGGTGGAAGGGGGGATTAGTGAGGGGTGCCAGTCTCCGAATATTTGCCTCCTCCAGGCGCAATAGTCCGGCAGCGGGGTGCCCATCATTGCCATAGCCGTCGCCCCCGGGGTGATCCCCCTACTCACGCCCCTGCTTGTCCCACGCGGGGTGGCGGAGTGCATCGCGGGCGGCCCATACGTGCGAGAGAGATCCCCCCCCCCCCCCCCCCCCAGAGGTGACCCCCACTCAACACCACCCCAGTAGGCATGCACCCCGCCACGCCCATCGAGGCCCACCACGAGGACGCCTGCATCCAACATGCATGCGCATGCCTGCGGTGCACCCTGAGCCACACCGATGAAACCGCACCCCTTGCTCGCTCGTGGTTTTGATTTTCACTTTGTACATCCCTCACACTTCTCCCTACTCTGCCCCCCCCCCACCACCCCCACTTCCGGCGGAGCCAATCCCCCGGCAGAGTAATTCGGTCCGGCCAAACCGAGCCAATACTACTCCGGCTGCCCGGGGCGCCGCCACGCCGCCACTTCGGCAGTCAATGGCCGGGCAGGTCGCCGAGCGTCGCCGAGGCACCAGGCCGAGTGGCTCATTCTATTGGGCGCCATTTACCGGCCAGAGTGCCGCGCAGTGCCACGCTGGTTGGCGGCGCCGGGCGGGGTGCGAGCTGACGGCGAAAAAAAAGGAGAAAAGTCAAAGCTCCCCGTTCGACTCCGTTGGCTTTTCCGACGGATTCTGATTCTACTCAGCTCTCGCGAGTCCGCGGTTCAGTTGGCCTTAGCCCTAGTGCAATTCTGCATCTACTGCCTTGCAAGTCCGCTTTAGGATTGCGATCTTCCTAGAAGTACCTCAGTCATGCAGTTCTGTCCCTCACGCGCAACAACATAAGGTTAGGTTCAAACACCTCCAGGAGGTTGGTGCCCCACAGTGACGGTGGAGGCGGCCAAAACTCTAGACGTGTTTTGAGCTCCAGGGTCGCTAAACAGGACTCGAACCGAACGTGTGACCCCACCAATGGATTCCTCGTTCGGAGAGCAATCCATTGGTGGGGTCACACGTTCGGTTCGAGTCCCATTTAGCGACTCTGGAGCTCAAAACGCATCCGGGAGTTTGGCCGCCTCCACCGGTCTTCTGGCCCACTGCGCGCCCCTCTGGAAACAGAAGTCGGCACTGACCGTGGAAGAAGGGGGAGATGCGCTGGAACGCCTCGATGGGCCCCAGCCCCGCGTACTGGCCGATGGCGAGCTCCAGGAAGAAGATGGGCAGGCCGATGAGGAACAGCATGATGATGTACGGGCCTAGGAACGCTCCTGGAACAGTGCAAACACGCCAACTTTAGAACATAAAGTGGTCGCGGCGGCGGTGCGGTGGATCATGGGCAGCCGTGGCGTGGGCCGCACAGCCGCGGCCAGCTGGAGGAAGTCGGTCTCTCTCGCACCCACGGGGCCTCCCGTATAGGTGCGAGAGAGACAGCGATGAAAGCGACCCTCGGAAACAGTCGGCTGTGCCTGACAGCAGATACTCGGCCGCCTGTTAGTGAAGTAACTTTGGGGCCTTGGTCCTCGCTGCTCGCCCTTAGGGCTGCAGGGGCGGATTTGAGCCCCACCCGGGCACTGTGAAAAGTTTGGATGGTTTGGTTTTCACTTAGGTGGCAATTTCAAGGACAATTTTTTCTTACAAGAATGACGTCATCATCAATCCAGTCGATTGCTTTGTTGTGACTAAGTGTCGTAACTTTGATGAATGTGTCATCAATATGTGATGAAATCGTTATCAGTTTCAAGTGATGGTGTCATCATTTTCAAGTGATAAAATGTCGCCACTTTCAAGTGATGAAAATGTCGCTACTTTCAAGTAATTATTAAGTCATCATTTTCAGGTGACGATAATGTCATCATTTTCAAGTGATGATGTCATCATTATTTTCAAGTGATCATAATGCCATCCATGATTTCGTCATAAAGTGGCAAGTAGAAATGCCAGTGAGGCCTTATCCATGCCGCACAAGCGTTGCCCGGGCCTCGCTGACGCAAGTCGCCTTATGGAATGGGATGGGATGGTCTTAAGGGGTGCTCCTCTTCAGGCCTCAACAACTTCCAAGGTCCGATTTGTTTGGCGTGCCGAACTAACTTTGAAAAGTCGCATGTTGCAGGCAGGAGGAGCAGAATGGGGGAAGGGAGGGAGAAGGTGTGGGCAGAGTCAATCAAATGAAGCGAGTTTGCCGCGGGAGCTGGGCTGACTTTCCGGTCTCTTGGTCTGCCTCTCGGTCTGCCTGCCAGCTGCCAGTCTACGCTCGCCTTACTCTTCTTTTCCGAAGTGTCCACGTCTTCTTCCAGGCATTTCTTTGAAAAAGTTCGCTACAGATTGTATTCAAATCAACATTTTATAAGATATATCTTCTGGTAAAATTTTTGAAACAGAAGCTTATTTTCAATGCACAAGCAAAACTAAAGAGAGATGATACGCTTTTTTCGGCCTTTCTGTGCCTTTCGCACTGACGCATACAAGAGCATATCCAACTCTGTTTTGACTAAAGACATTGGGAAGTTTCTCCGTAGTTAGTGAGGGGTAGAGGCAATTTCAGCGGTGCACTGGAGGCCATACGCGGCCATACGCCGTATGGCCCAGAACATTTTTTCGGCCGTGCGTATGGTCCAGAACATTTTCCCCGCCCATACGCTCATTTTTGGCCAGACGATGGCCACGCTCGACTTCTGGGGCCCAGGCGGGCCATTGTCGCCTCTGCGCGCGTTTTGAGCTTGACGCCACGGAAGCGGTCAATGCAATGAGGGAGTTCGTTGATGATAATGAATAATTATCTGCTGCACTCGAGCCCTTAAAAGCTCTAATTCAGACCTTCTCAATCAGTTCAGCTGAGAGCGAGCGAGGTTTCAGCGCCAAGAACATAATTTGTACTTCACTACGAAATTCCTTGACTGTTGACTACAACACACACACACACACACACACACAGCGTATGGTCCAGGACAAAGTTACCAGTGCACCGCTGGGCAATTTTCCTTCCCCCCCCCTTTTCCCTCTCTTCTCCCCTCTGGATGCGCGCTGGGTACGAGGGGTGACCCACTGTAAGATTTAGTGTGCAATGAATGTGGGAATGTGTTGGAATGTGCAAGATTTCTGCTGTATTCGTCACACGTGTTGCCTACTTACAGGCGGTTTTTACTTGAGAATGTGGGAATGTGTTCAAATTTTGTACAATGAATGTGAGTACACTCTAAATATGGGGTGCCCAGCAACTGGGCGCCTTTGTCGCCCGCCCCACTTTTTAGGGTGCCAAATGTCGCCAAGTCTCGGGGTGGACAAATCATACAGTAACCGGCCCTCTCCCATGGTAGAGCATGCCCAGGTGTCTAGATCCTGGGCGACTAAGGTGCCTAGATTCTGGGCACCTTTGGCACCTCAGTCGCTGCTGAGCCATGGGTGAAGGCAGGTTTCCTAATGGTTTGTCCACCCCGAGACTGGGTGACAAAGGTGCCCAGGAATTGGGCGACATTTGGCACCCTAAAAAGTGGGGCGGGCGACAAAGGCGCCCAGTTGCTGGGCACCCCATATTTAGAGTGTAGTTGTTCTCCCCTCGGAAGTGGCTGGACTCACCTCCGCCGTTACGGTAGACGAGGTAGGGGAAGCGCCACACGTTGCCCAGGCCGATGGCGTAGTTGAGGCAGGACATGATGAACTCCACGGGGCTGGCCCAGGACCCGCGGTGGTGCTCCACCGGCGCCACATTGTCCGTCATCTGCAAGCAAAACAACGCACGGTACAGTCACTGCCAAAGGAAGACGCGCACCCTCAGTACAGTGCACTCTCGCGGACGACACGCACACACGCAGAGAGACGCACGGTACAGTCACTGCCAAAGGAAGACGCGCACCCTCAGTACAGTGCGCTCTCGCGGACGAGCAGCTACGCGGCCGCCACCCTCACACATGCAGTCAGACGCACGGTACAGTCACTGCCAAAGGAAGACGCGCACCCTCAGTACAGTGCGCTCTCGCGGACGAGCAGCTACGCGGCCGCCACCCTCACACATGCAGTCAGACGCACGGTACAGTCAATGCCAAAAGAAAAAGGCGCTGACCCTTGCGACGCAAACGTCCCGTACAGTGCACTCTCGACACGCACACGCGCACAGTCAGACGCGCGGTAGTCACCGCCACAAGGAAAGGCACGCGTGCCACGCGAATGTACTGTACTCGCGGGGATAAACAAGGCGGCCGAATCGCACACAGTGTGGCAGCCCGGCCGACATGGCCGCGAGACCGCCACTGCTCTCTCGGAGGCGGCCACGGCGATTCGGACGCGGCCGCCGCATTCCGACTGCAGACTGATTCCGCGAGTCGTTTTTGTCTCACTGTCTTTCTCGTGGGCGTCCCGTGCAGGTGCGAGAGAGACAGAGCGACGAAAAGGACTCTCGGAATCAGTCTGCAGCGCGACTCATTAAAAAGCACGGTGTTTTGCCGCCGGCAGCATCCCCGTGCCGCCGTCGCCGCCGTCCCGCCACAGGCACTGCTTTGTGGAGCGCGGCGCCGCGGCCCCCGCCGGCTTGGGTCCGAACAGCGCCCTCGTCGCTCTGTCTCTCTCGCACTCATCGAGCGTCCCGTTTGGACGCGAGAGAGACGGAGCGATAAATCGCTTGGCGGGGTCAGCCTTCTGCGTGCGTACTCCACCGCGTTATTTCCGTCACCTGTGCCAGTGCCCCCGGCTCTGTGCTCCACCCACAAAGACGGCGGGCTCCGTGACGCCGCGGCGGGGCGGGGCGAGGCGAGGCGAGGCGGGGCGAGGCGAGGCGTGGGCGTGGCGTGGCACGGCCACCCTATTCTGATTTTGATACCCGCACCCGTCGGCAACCGCCAACCCAGACTGGCAACCGGCGCGCACCGGTTCGCGGGTTCCTTCCCTGCCCGACGCCCGACCCGCACCCACTCCACTGCTCCACCGGCGCCAGGGCGTCCACCACGCCGCGGGGGCACGGCCACATTCCCCGCCGAGATAATCCCGCGGACTAAATAGCAGAGAAAGTCTGAGACGGCGGCGATCACATCTACGCCCAGTGTGGCGACGAAGTTTAACCTGTACTCAAAGTAAGGCCTCTGACAGACGTCATGTCGTACGTACATAGCCACTTGACACCTCTTCTCGATATCGAAATGCGACCAACGCGGTGTTCAAAACGTATGTCAGAAGTGGGATTCGAACCCACGCCCACAGAAGTGGACTGCGACCTGAACGCAGCGCCTTAGACCGCTCGGCCATCCTGACAGATGAGATGCATCAGACCGGTGCGGCAACACTCGCCAAGCGTTGGGTGGGGCGTGCACGTTGGGTTGCCTAGCCTCGACTCGTCGGGCGCTCTGGCGCGCCACTGCGTTCTCTGTCGGGCGGCACACCTCTGAACAGCGGTTTCGTCGCTCTGTCTCCCTCGCACTCATGGGGCATCCCGCGCGTATGCGAGAGAGACGAAGAGAGAGAGAGAGAGAGAGAGAGAGAGAGGGGGGGGGGAGGTTGCCGGCCGTGTCGCTGCCGTGGCCGTGCTGCAGGAGCTCGATTCCGAGCAATACCCTCGTCGCTCTGTCTCTCTCTCCTTTGCACTCAAAGGGAATCCCCTATAGGTGCGAGAGAGACAGAGCGACGAAAACGACTTCCGTAATCGGCCTGCTGGCCGCGTTGGCCGCGTTCGGCACGAGCAGACGACCTGTTGGCCGCGTCCCCGCAGCCCATCGACCACGCGCTGCTTCGCCGCTTTCCGGGTTTCGTGTTTCGAGCGGCGCCCTGCCCTTCCAGAACCCAGAATCGATGCACCGTTTCCTGACAGTGTAGCCCGCGCCCGCGGACAGGTGTTCTGGTCTGTGCATGTGCACGGTCCTGGCGCCCCTGCGGTCCGCGAGGCGTGGGGCGTGGGACACCCCGCGAGCTCGCATGAGGGCATGGGGGTGCGCGACGAGACAGTGCTCTCTCTCTCTCTCTCCCCCTCTCTCTCTCCCTCTCTCCCTCTCTCTCTCTCTCTCTCTCTCTCTCTCTCTCTCTCTCTCTCTCTCTCTCCTCTCCCTTACCCTCACCCTGACCCCCTCTTTTGGAAGAGAGATACACATCCATGCCCTCTTGCTCTCTCCCTCCGCCACATTGACACACCTTTCTCGCTTCTTCTTGCATATTAATTAAGACCTCGGCCGAGACGGAAGGACCTTGCTTATATTTTGTCGCCCCCTTCCGCGACCCTGCACACGCAAAGTGTATCTGCGTGTGTGTGTGTGTACATGTATGTGTGGGCACGTGTGTGTGTGTGTGTGTGTGTCCGTGTGTGTGTGTGCGCGCGCGCGTGTGTGTGTGTGTGTGTGTGTGTGTGTGTGTGTGTGCGCGTGATACCCTCCTTCTTCTTTCCTCGCAGTCGTCGCTCTCTTTCTCCTTCTGGGACGGCGCCACACCGGTGCGCAAAGAACACCGGGAACAACAGCGGCACACAAAGGTACGGGGGGAAAAGGGGGTGGGGGAGGCCGCCGGTGAGCGCAGCCAACAATCCGCAAAACAATAATAGAAACCCCCCGTCCCGGCCCTCGTTTATTTAATCGTTTGTCCCGGCGGACTTGTTTACATGCTGCGCTCGCTAAGCAGGCGACGCGGCGACACGACAAGCATCAGCCAATCAGAGAGAAGTGGGAGGAGGGGGAAGGGGGATGGACGGACGGACGGTGTAATGACCACACGCGCGCATCAGCGAGCAATCATTTGCCGAGCGAAGTGTGAATCGGCACCGTGTGTCGATGCGCGCGACTAAACATAGCTTAATCCGCACTCGTGGTTACAGTGGGCGTTCCGATGCACTGGGGTTCTCTCTCCTCTACCCCCCCCCCCGTCCCGCCCCGGCCGGTGGCGTTGTTACGTATGTATCGCGATGATGACAAGGGCACCCCTCCCCCCTCTCCCGAGACGTGCTAGCTGCAGGCCGACTGCCAAGAGTTAGCCAGCGGACCTGCCCATCCCCCCCCACTTTTTTCGAACCTGTTGTTACACGTTCGCGGCACGTCTTTGCAAAGCCTTTACAAATTTGCACAGGTACGGCGTGGCGTATCGTTCCCGCGTGTTATGGCTGGGCATAAATTTGCGGGAGCTCGCCCGGCCACAATGGGGATTGGCGCTACGGAACGGCTCAGCGGCGGACAATGGGAGTGGGGGGGGGGAGCTGGCTTTGAGGGGGTCCTCTATCAGGGGGTTGTGTGGGGTGCGGGTGGGGGTGCTGTCAGGACCGAGCGGCATTCTGGACGTGTGCACACTGGGGAATCCAGCGGACGCACTGCAAAAGCGCCTCCCAAGGGCAAGCCGTAGGGCAAGCGGCCATGGGGCAAGCCGGGGCAGGCCAGCCGAGCCGGGCCGCTGCACTGCAAATCCGAGACTCGCCCTCTGTTTCGCACAGCAAGCGGTACCAGCCCGTCGCAATAAAAAGTCGGCGTGATAAAATTATTGGATAAAGATTGTTGTAGGCACAGTAGATAGCTTTTAGACTTTTATAGACATCTATATTTTTATGTAGGTATATTTTGAAATGTTAAAAACTGAAAAAATGTCAAATTTTAAAAATATTTTTCATTAAATCGGATCTGACGATAAAGTTCCTCTCAATAAAAGCGAACGACTGTTCGCGCCACCGCCCTCGAGATAAATAACTGAGCCGCTATTTCAGGCCGTGCTGCAGGCAGGCGGCGCAGGCGGGGCTGGCGGGGCTGGCAGCCCCAGGGTCGAGTGAGAGCGACTTTGGCGGTCAAGGCCGTCCATGCCTTGGCGTGGCCTTGGGCGCAGTGGCGTGCAGGCCACTCGCCGCGATCCGCGCCAAAAGTTGAGGCCGCCGCGCCTCTCGACGGGCTGCAAGGGGATGCTCGGCGGAGTTCGGGGAGGGGGAGGGGAGGGGGGTCATTAGTGGCGGGGAAGTTCAAGTTCGCCCCCAAGCCGAGTTTACGGGGAGCTCCTAATCACACCTGCTGCCGACACCCACGCACCGCACAGTGGGCCAGAAGACCGGTGGAGGCGGTCAAAATCCCGGACGCGTTTTGAGCTCCGGAGTCGCTAAATGGGACTCGAACCGAGCGTGTGACCCCATCAATAGATTGCTCTTCGAACGAGGAATCCGTTGGTGGGGTCACACGTTCGGTTCGAGCCCTATTTAGCGCATATGGAGCTCGAAACGCGTTTAGAGTTTTGGCCGCCTGCGCCGGTCTTCTGGCCCACTGTGCGCCCTGATCCCGTCCCTTTCACTTGGGACTCGAGCTCGAGGCGAGCCCGCGCGTGGCGTGGGCCTGGGTCCCGCCAGCTTGCTCCAACTATCCAGAAGACTGATTTAGTCCGAGAGTAATTTTCGTCGTCCTGTCTCTCACGCATCTGTTCAGGACGCCACAGAGAGAGAGAGAGACAGAGCGACAGAATCAGTCTCCTCTGCAGACTGATTCCGCACAGTGTGGAGAGGCCCACCAGCATCGCTCTGTCTCTCTCCCACTCATACGTACTCTCGGTCTGTCTCCCTCGCAGCGGGCCCCTCTGCACTGTGCGCAATCAGGCTGCAGGCTGCAGTCCATTCCGTAGGTCTGTCCCTCCCCCTCTCCCACCCACGCGGGCCGCTCCATGAGAGCAAGAGAGAAACAGCTCGGCCGGTAGGGAAAGCACGTGAAACAAACGGCGTGACCGATATCGACCCACGGCGCGGCACCGCGGAACGACCGGGGTGACTCCTGTGTCCCCTGGGCACTCGCA